CCCCCCTTCCCTCCTCTAAGCTTTTTGCTGAATGCAAATTTGGAGGCAGTTTGTTGCATAATGCATTTAGCTTTCAAAGCAGAAACTGCCTGTCTGAAATAATTTTTAAAATGTACCTTGAGGAGAGAGATGTATGCTTGCAGGCAGAGATTTCAAAGATTATATTCTGGAAAAGGGCCTTGTTGGTTTAGTATATGTATATTGTTGGTCACTGATTTCCAGTTAACATACTGGGAAAAGATGAATTTGATAAGGAAGGATTGCATGTACAATCTTGCATGAAAATGTATCAGAAACTAGAACTTCTGTGCTTAACAAAAACATTGAAGTTGCATACAGAACAGAACTGGGATTCAAAACTGCCCTTCAGAGGAAGAGATCTAGAGACATTTTTGTAAAGAAAAAAGCTATCAAATTGTCTGCACTGAGTAACATGATTATGAAATGGAGATTAAATATTTCCCCTTTATTGTTCCACTGATTAGTCAAGATTTTTACCTGTTTGAAGACTCCTATTACTATTAAACTAGATTTTACCCATCGTTTCTTAAAAAATTAAAATAATATATTGCTACTGACATCTAAGCAGTATAGAAAATTTAACCGGGAAGTAATTTTTTTACTCTTATTCCTGTGGATATCCTTTCCCTCGTTTTAATTAAAATCTAAAACACCCTTCCAGGAAATTGTGCTTATTACAGGATTTTTTTTTAAAAAAAAAAAGGCATTTGTGAAACTTTTATGTAACTGAGGCACCCTAAATTGCAAGGCTACCAGATAAATCCTGTTTTGCAGAGCAACTCAGGATTGAACAAGCTGTATGAAGTTGATAATAAATTATGCTGCAGTATCAAATAAATATGGGTGGACTTTATAGGCAGTAGATAATCATGTCTGTGTGGCAGGTGTAATTCTGAGTTAATTGTGGGGGGTACCCTGTCATGCCTGATAGTGATCCCTTCAACATCACAGGAACCTACCTATGAAATTTTTAGTACAAATGCAATGTCATTACTTGTTCTCTTTTTTCATTTAATGTAGTTGTTTATTCCACCCCCAAGTTGCAGTCTGAACACTGCTATACAGACCCTTTTTATCTGTTGTTAACTTTTTCCATCTGAGAGTGGAAGGATTAATTGCATCTACCAGATCTGTTTCCATTGCCACTTCACTGTATTTTCACTTCACTCGTAGACTTAAATGCAGTACGTATGTAAATATGAACAAGCAGAATGTTTGAAAGTGTCTGTGGTAGTGTTTTGTCAAAAACAGCCTCCCAGAATCAGTATTTCAGTATTTTTGCCTTGCACAATGTCTCTATACTTTATCCTAGGTGCTTAAAAGTGTATGTACCCAATATCCATAGCCTTAAGTAATGCAACTATTTCTCCCACTTACAGTTTGAAATTTTTTGTTCTTGCTTTTGGAACTAATCAATGGTACTGTCCTGAGGTGTCTTTAAGACCTAGGTGTGCACACTGATGCTTCTGTATATTCTCATAATTCTATTGGACATAGTGTAGTTACATCTTTAAATGAGTGCTTACACTGTTGAGAATTCAGGATTTTGGGTATTCGGTTGAAATGCATCAGTACAGCATGGAATTGAGGAATAATGAGGCCTGCCTGTCTATGCTGAGTTATACCTAGTGAGGCTCTGATATTTTTTCCTCCTTTTCATTTATTCTAATAAATGGTTCTATACATGTTCGTTTTTAATACTTATTGAAGATTTTATGGAAATATTTTAGTAACTATAGCCTATATGAAATAAAGTTTCAAATCTCTTTTGGTAGCAAGTGCATTGTGTTTTGGAAAGAGTAAAAAATGAGAGGAAAAAATGGCATGTAAGTTCACAGCAGACTGTCTGATTCTCCTTATCTGTCTGAACCCACTCTGCTTTGTTCAGCCCAACTGCCTTCAGCTCTGATCATCTCAAGTTACAGGACTATTCAGTTTCCATGCTTGTTGTACACTAAGTCCTTTGGCTTTTGGTTCGGTGTCAGAGGCAGTGATGTTTTTATGCTCCACATCCTTGTCCGCAAGAAGCTCGGATGTTGTGTCCCATCAGAGACTATAGCAGGTTTGGTCATTGCCATCAGAGGGACAGCTAGGAGAACTTGAGATGAGCTGGGTGAAGATGTGCCAGATGGCTGTTTAGCATATAGCAGTTTCCTGGCACTGTACAAGTTTCCTCTTGTCCCTGTCCCAGTGCAATCATACTGAAATGCTTTGTCCTAGGAAGAAGAGTTTTTCGGAGCCATATATATGGACTGTGAGCAGCTCTGATACAGAATATTGCCTGCACGACACAGAATATTTTAGTGAAGAGGGGGAGCCAATTACAGCATGTGTCCAGGCAGGAGGAATGCAGAAAGATAACTGGATACACTTCATGCAGTATAATTACACAGTAATATAACAATAACATAAAATGGGGAATGATTTTAGGAACGGAATGTGAAAATATAGGTTTAATTATGATCATGTACATGTTTCTGGCAGAATATCTTTTTCTGTTGTGAGGCAGCTTTTAAGTAAGAAATTTGCTCCCTCTCCTCTTCACCCTGCTGTACCAGTGGACTTTCCCTCCCTATTAACTCCTAGAATTTCTACAGCTCATTATCTGTCTGCTATTATCAGGATGCCATTAACTATTTGATGGCTTCAGTTGCTGTTTCAGGTCGAAGGTGCCACACTGCAAGCAATACTGTTAAAATAAAACCATGTTGTATTCAAATGACCAATTAGGTTTGTGGAACAGCATGCTCAAGAGCTTAATAGATGCCAAAATGTTTTCTGTGTACAGAATGTAAGCCTGTTTCAGAGCAAGTCCAGCACTAGCAAGAACACGTTTGCATTTTCCAATTGTGCTGTTATGTGCACAGTTAATTGGGGATTATATTGATTGATAGTCCCATAAAACTGGGACATATTTCAGATACTCGATAAATATCTCAAATCAACAGATACCTTCCTGTAGTGTCAAGGAATTGCGAGTATATTGTTCATGAGCTTGATTCTCCTAAGCTGGGTGAGGCATAGAGGAAACAGAAAATGGAAAGCAACACTGGCAAGAGCTGCCAATATATGTGGTTAGCGCTGAAATTTTCAAGCATGGTTCTTGTATTTTAATGTGATCTAAATTGTACTTACTGTCAAAAGTCCCCAAAGTTATTTTTCTTACCAGATCTGAGTGGAACACTCTTGCAAGGCCCACTTCTCGGTATATTCTGCGTATCTGAAGCAGACATAAAGGGGGTTATTTGATTATTCTGTATCATGGAGAGAATTCACAGCAATCACTTGTGTTTTAGTGCAGTACAGAGCAGAAAAGGGGAAAGAACGGATTCCACAGTAGTTTTGCATAAAGAATCTGCCAGCATATATGACAGGAAACATACACACTCACTGGTCAGCAAGATGCTTAAAAAATTATTTCCAGTAATGGAATATACACAATTTATGTGGGTTATACTCCTCTGAATATTACTGCTTTATTGAAGAAATAATCAAACAAGGGATTTGTGAGCTTTCTTACACAAATCTAAATCTTCCCATACGATGATTATCTTAAATTTTACTTCGTTACATAAAAGAAATTGTATAATACATTTGTTTTTATCAATTCAGTAATCTTATATTTATCTTTGGTATTATTGATTGTTTTGAAATGCAGTGTTGGTACAATACCCAACAGAGCAGGTTTTTTTTTTTTTTAATAATTAAAATGTGAATTTTTTTTCTTACAGAAGTTTTGATGTTGGGCTACATCGCTTTCTGGTCAGGTAAGCTAATACTTGTTTTGAATTGCAATTCCATCTTAAAAAGCATTTCTATTATAAGTAGAGGTGGCCATGTGAACTCAATACTACTTGATATTTTCTATGGCGAGATCCTGTTTTGTCTTCCATTTATATGTTAGTTTGAGAAACTTTAACTGTTTGGCTTGGATATCTACCCAATGTCAGTCTCTAAGGAACCTCTTCAGGTGTCATTCAGGGAAGCCTTCACTCAGGAAATTTCAGTGGCAATATTCCACTCATTCCTGAGGAAATCTTAGTTTTTCTTGCACTGAAGAAAAACTTCTAAAAGTTTGTGTTTTTTTTTCTACTGGAAACTCAAGTACCTTTATACCTTGTAATAAGGGCTTGAATTTTGTAGAAAACTTTGACTGTGGAGGCGAGTTTTGTTTTTCTCAATAGAAAACTGGATTGATTCAATGCTCGGGATGGACTATGCTCTGAAGATGAATCAGGAAAGTGGAGTAACTGTTGTGTGTTTTGTTTGCTGACATTTAGAGGAGGGCAGTGATTAAAGCAGGAGACTTCAACAAGAAAAGGGAGGTTAATGCATTTGAATGCTACATGCAAGAACTGTGTTTGCTGTCTGAAGTTCTTTTGTGTGAGCAAAGTCACAGGTGTTCACTAAGAATGCATTTGAATTCATTTTTAATAACCTACCTATCACTATCTACTGATCTTTACAAAGAAATGTGATGTATACCATGGAAGATGAAGTTTGCTGTGCTCTTCAGGCCCTTAGAAAATTCATTCTATTAGTTATTTCATTCCACTAAAATGTTGCAATATCCATCTGTTGAAGAACTTTACCTTGGAAGAATGAACCCAATATGTGAGCCAGACCATGCTGTTTGGGTCCTACCATAAGGACCAGGTGATCTTAGGCTTCCCGTGATTTGGCCTTGCTACTGAACTCATTATTTTAGGCTGCTTTGTCATATTTCCTGGATAAAGACTGTTAAGCCTTCACGCTCATAGGTCCTTATGGCCTTAATGCAAAGGCTTTCAGCACTGATTCACAGGCTTCCAGAGCTCTAACAGATTGGTCGCTCTCAATTTGCTTTTCATTCCTCTGGTCATTCACTTGAAGCATGTATTTTTTTTTTAATGTTTTCAGAACCCTGCTAATAGCTCCTGACTGTAGTTAGTACAAGAAGCATACAGCTCCAGACAGAATGATAAATGCCTAAAAGCATTTCTCTGCCTTAGGCTGAACATCACTTGTAAGTTTTTTCACTTTGTCCTCTAAAGTATCTAAGATACCCCTTTCAGATTCAGCTTCTCCTCTAGATTATCAGTACCACGACAAAATCCAGAAAAAAAGTGGTAATTCTCTGTCCAAGGTCTGGATTCCAATTGGTTATATCTTAAAGGGAAGAATACTGGGTAGTATCATATTGAACACCATGCTTTTGTGGTTTAAGCTAAATACAAAAAATATGAAAGATATGAGATCACACAAAGCCTGTGTCACAGTAAATATTGGGTTTGTTTCAAGGTTGCACATGAAAACCGCCATCCTGACGTCTCATAACCTCTGAGCAGTAGGCTTTGTAACATTAGGGTTATTTTACGTATTTCTTTGCATGTAACGTGACAGCTTTTAACAGATGGCTCTTTTCACTAAAGTCATAGTGTCAGTATTGCTGAAGATACATGTATTGCAGTGTGTACCTGTAGTTTTTAGACTGCTGAAAGTATTTAAGTTCTGGTATCAGCTCTACAAAATGAGTTGCATCTATATTTTGACCAGCAGATTGATTTTTATTTTTTTAAATAATCATATAAGGAATGGAAATCATCATATTAAGAAATGGTTTAAGAATATGCTATTATTGTAGAGGGCATACAGTGCACAATGAGGTCTGGGAATGTGGACAACTACTTAATCAAGAATACAATTATGGGAAGCATTGATGTACTAAGTTTGAGCCCCTGGTAAAGCTTTTGCCACAAAATATGCTTTTACTTGCTTCCTACAAAATGTAGTAAGGTACTGTTCTCTTATACTGCATTGTTTTACATCCTGTGGAGATGCAGTATTGGAATTGTATGCTTATGCAATCACTGGACCACAAATAGCCATTGAATTTGAATGAGTTGAATGCCATCTTTGACTAATGTGTCTTTTTTTTTTTTTCAAAGCATAGAACCAAAGGGTTCTATGCAATGTGGTGTTCTAACCTTAGACAGCTTTAATACTTCATTCTCAGTCTGTCACCTATCCCTGTTAACAACTTGAGGAGCCATCAGATACTTTCTCTGTACTGCTGAGGAGGAAATACTGTTCCCTTCTGTTGTAGCAGTGTGAGTTTTGCTTGGGTTTCCTTAGCTAAAAGACACTTTACTTTAGTAGATGAATTTTGGACTAGGAAACGGAAGACTTGGTGCGACATCTCTGCTGTTGGTCTGCCATGTGACCTTTAGAAAGTTATTGCCTTTGTTTTTGTGTATTTAGACAGTCTCTGCTCCTGAGAACTTGCAGTTCTTCTCCTTCTGGTTCATATAGTGTCTGTCATAAATGGTCCTCTTCACAGTTTGAGTTTCTATGTGTGAAATAAAAACAGTGAGGGGGGAAAAAATCCCAACACAAACCCAAACAAAACCCAAACAAACAAGAGTTGCAGGAAGTGTTGAAAATCTATGAATTGAGACTTGAAATGTTCAAGAGATACTACACTGTTTTAAATAGGATGACGCCACCCTGCAGCGGAACAGGGAACCAAGTATGACACTTTCAAATATAAAAACAGTCTCTGCTAAAAGGACAATCTGTGTCTAATTACTTATTAAAATGCTGATTGAAGGCACTAGGACCATACATAAACTGGCATAAACAGTGAATGGCTTGCCCAAGTGAAGCATGACACTAAGTATGACAGAATTACACAGCTGCTTCTGTGTTCTTAGCAAAAAATAGATATAAAATAATTTCTGTCCATCCATCTAGTTGTGGCTTGAACTATGCTTCTAATAAACTTTTCTGAGCTATCTTAAAAACTATAAAAATCCCATCTTTTTAAACATATTTGTTATTGAAAAGTGTGTATTATACTGAAATGGCTAATTATGTGGTGTTTACTGGCTTGGGCTGAACTGGATTGTAGGACTAGATTTCTAATCAGTTGCATGCTGAAATATGGTGGCATCATGGAATTACTATTTGTGAAATTAAAGTGCAATTGAGTATGTCGGGGCCTGGGCCTTGAACATTTGTTAGCTACATCGTAGTGTTTGTGTGTGGATCCTGGATATTCATGGAGGCAAGATCAGTAATTTCATGGTGAAAACTGGGTTTTGATACTACCCATTAAAAATGTACAACCAAACTTGGAAAGTCATTTGCCCACTGTTCTCACACAATGATATAAAAGAAAATATTTGTTACTTCTTTTAGGATCAACAAAATTATTAATCAATGTTATTTAAATCACACAAGTATTATACAAATGTAGTAAATTTTTTTTTTCACTACAGGAAAAACAACCCTGTGTTTCCTAAATCCAGGTATTCTCAGAATGAAGCAATGGGTGTATTTTCAGAGTTCAAAATGCATAAAAAATAGCCTTTGGGGTAGCAGTTCGGGGAGGGGGAAAGAGCAAGAGAGGGGCTGCCTGGTGCTGTTTGCTCACTGAAGCTCTTTTATCCAGGCATTTCATCCAGTGCTGAGAACAGGGCATTGGATGAAATGAAGTCGTGAACGTATGAGAATATTTACTGTCCTAATGCCAAACAGCGCTTCCTTTAGGGCAGCGTGGATGAGGGCAGAAGAGAAGAATGACAGTTCCTGGAGGCATGATCCTTTTGAAAAATTGCCACACTTCCAGCACTGTTGGAAAAATTGCCACACTGCTGTGCCTTTGAAAAAGCATGAATCATACTCATTCCAGTACAGATCTGGCTTTGAAAAGAGCTGCAGGACCAGACACCCCCAATGTCTCCCAAAGGTATCCATCTGTTAGCAGTGCTGACAGCTCACCCCATGGTTTGCAATGACTTTAGCTTGTTTAGAGTTGCAGGTTATTACCTGGTACAAAGGTTGTCCAAATACAAAACTCGAAAATCATCCCCTTTTCTAGTTTTCTCAGGTGAAGCAGGGCATAGTTTAGCTCTGGGATCAAAATTCAGTATGTGTTGCCCCCTCTGTTAAATTTCGGTGGTTTTTTTTTTTTTCCAGTTAGAAACAGGGTACCTCCATGTAAGGGCAGAATGGTCCCATGGCAAAAGAGGGATTATGGTTCTAAATAGCATACATTCATGAAAGAAAAGAAGGAAAAGTATGTTCATCAGCTGGCTCAACTCCTGTTTTCGTTCTCTGTGGAATTCCATAGGACCCCACATATTTCTATACTACCCAAAAGAGTAACAGAATAATGATGATAATGAACTATCTGATAACTGGTTTAAGTAAACTTAAAAAAAAAATTTTTCTTTCTTGTTAGTCTTATCTGTTCAGAAATGCACTGCTGAGATCCGTTCCTGTGAGGTCAAACTTTTTCTGAAGTGCAGACATTGCCTCCCAAAAGGTATTACAGCTCTTAAGATGGTGAGAAGTCACTAAGTGTAACCCCTATGCAAAGTGTAGACTCACTGAAGTGCTCAACAATATCCAAGCTGTCCTAAGCTGAAGAGGACTATGCCCCTACTTAAAAATCCAAGCAGTTCTTGCTTTTGCTGTTTCTTCTAAAGAAAAACACAACAAAAAAACCCCCAACAAACACACACCACCAGTGCACCTCTCGCCCTCCTCCCCTCCAATGAACCGCTGAAAAATAACCAACAACAACAAAACCCAACACATCTCTTCTCTAACACACCCAGGTCTTGGAAAGTCAGCATCTGATGCAACTGTCCCTTTCAGTCTGTATTGCATCCCTCCTCTAATTTTATTACTAGAGAAGATCACAGGTGATTCTGGGCTCCAACAGCTAGACACAGATTCCCTGCTGGGGTGGCACAGGGGACGCAGCATAAAGCATGGCCCT